TCTTTTACAAGTAGATTCTCGGCGATTTATGTCACTCTATCGGGACCGTAGGTCTATAGAGAGAATGTTGTATTCGTTTTTAAAAAATAGGTCCTACATTTAACATGTTTAAGGTTTTGTAGCGTCACATGTCGCCTGAACATTAAGTGACGGCCAGCCCTTTCGGTTAATATACTCGTCTCCATGGTGTTGCGGTTTTAGTATACGTACGTGACTGCAATCCAAGACTTCTACTGCCGTCGGGAAGTTATACTTGTCCAACCATGTCTCCCTTGCGTGAATTAGCGCGTTCTCGTTAGTCGGATATTTATCCATTGAGGAGCCTCCTCAAAAATTTTTGACATAACACTGCTGACTGTACGGGATACTGTTGACTGCTCCGCTCCTAACTCTTCACCTATACCATTTTGAAAACCAGGGTCAGTAACATACCGCAAAAAAATTTTCATTTTTAACTCTGAACATTCCGTTCTTCAAATCTAAATAAACTCTTAAAATCAACGTCCTGTGGTGATTGTCGCCGCTTATAAAACTTAACTTTTCTCAAATTTACGACATCCATAATATATTTATCACTAACAATTTCACTGCAAGATCTGTCAACTTTAAACACAACCGCCACCTTTGACTACTTTTAAACAACTAATTAGTACACAGCAGAGCTGGGGAGGATTCGAATCACATAGGATTCGAATCCTGGGATTCGAATCCTTTTTGAGGATCCGCGAGCGGTATTCGAATACTTTAGAAAAAAAGGATCCGTGATCCAGATTCGCCGAAGAAATTCTTAAGGATTCGTATTCGCCGGCGCGAACGGTTGACACACGCTTTGACTTTAGCGAAGTGTAAACTGAAACAGACCGAGGCTGAAAAAAGATTGTTAATATTTAGAGGATAAACGTAAGAATCTACAAATTAATTCAAAGAAGGCAGAAGAGCTCCTAGACAATTTTGAGTTGAAACCTATGCCATATTTTGAGGCTATTTTTATACCCCATTCAAAAATGTTATAAAGTTTTTTTCTAAAAACAAGTACACTGAATTTTTAGACTATTTTTAGGCTCTTAATTAATATTTTAAAACTTTATTAAAAATTGCTAAATAATACATGGTGCTTTGCTGGAACAAAGTTAGCAGAGCACCTCAGTTTATTTTTTTTTTTTTCTAGAAACATCTACTTATGTCACATGTTTAAGCTATTTTTGGGCTCTTAAAATATTATAGAACTTTTTGAAAAAAATTGTGTTTTTTAAAAAATAGAGTGCTTTGTTGAAACAGAGGTGCTCTGTTGGCTTCGTTCGAAGCTAGCAAAGCACCCTGTATTTTTTTAAAATAATATTTTAAGAGCCTAAAAATATTGTGTATTTGTTTTTGGAAAAAAAACTTAAAAAACTGAGGTGCTCTGCTGACTTCGTTCGAAGCTAGCAGAGTACCTTAATTTTTGCCCAAAAACAGTAGCATAAAAATAGCCTACAAATATGGCATAGGTTTTAATTTAAAATTGCCTATCACAAATCACAAATTAGCAATAAATGTCCAACATAAAAAAATCCTAAAATTCAACTCTTGCCTTCCTTCGTCTGGTGCAGTCTATTATTTTTGTTTGTAGGTATAATCGACGCGCCTCGAAATTTTGGTGCTATGTAAGGCCAACCAAAAGTCATTTTTATTTCATTGTTTATTTTGTTTTTTGTATTAAAATAAAATATATTTTTTGTAGATTCTAATTTATATATGGTTCATATTTATAGAAAAAAAATAAGTTTATTCTTTTCAACATCTTCTTGTATCAACCATTTGTATGCAAGTCATAGTCGGTAATAGACACATAGTTGATAGTAATATTAGATTCGGAAGCATGCATAATACCATGGTATGATGCTGACAGTGATTCGTATCCGTGATCCGAAAAATAGATTCGAATCACTTGATTCGAATCCTTTTTTATTGTAAAAAGGATTCGGACATATGATCCGTGATTCGAATCACATCTCGTGATTCGGATTCGTGATTCGGATTCGTGATTCGAATCATTTTTTTGAGGATTCGTCCCAGTTCTGGTACACAGAACTCGTTTCATGCATCTGCTCTGAACTAGATACATTTTGAGAAAAGTAAATTTAAAGTAAATACTCACTTTTATTCACACGAGAAGTATTCACTTTTTCATGAAGCATTTGCTTTTACTTATGAGTAAAACCTTTTGCTGAAATTTTTATTCATATCACTTGCAGCATTTACTCCAGATTTTGCGAGAAAAAGCAAATGCTCTTTTTTATTCATACGGGCGAATGAGTACCAGCTGACAAAATGTGATCCACTTTTCATGCTTATTAAATAAATGCATTATGATTTACTTTGGGATTTATTGCGTTTTGTGCATGATAAATAAATAAACACAAAAATTAAATTGAAAACTAATAGCTACAAAAGAAGGTCTTCAAAAAAAATACATAAACAGATTTATAGAAAAATAAAAATACTCAATTTGTTTGTTCTATTTGAGAGGGATTAATGGATTTACTTCGGTTTGTTTGACTCTGTCACTTTTAAATGCATTTTACTACAGGATATATTGCGTTTAAAATACATTGGAGCTTAGCAATGGATTTATCATACTGAAATGCTAAAGAAATTGTACCTAATTTTATTAGATTTATCACGTTTTGTCAGATCACTCCTCATATAAGGTATACATTCAACAGTTCTCTGCCACTTTCTTATGAAGAGTATAACACATTCTTTTTACTTCTCTTTTTACAAAAAGCTTCTCAACATTGTTACAGTGAAGGAATTCTGGCTATTTAACCGACTTCAAATAAAAGAAGGTTCTCAATCTGGCGGAATTTATGTTCAGCGATAATTCTTTACCACGTTATTTGATTTTTATTAGAAAGTGGATACCTCAAGGGTGGACATTTTATTTTTGGGATTTTACGGTAAAGATATTCTCGCCATAGTGGCACTCCACACACTTAGGCACCGTTCTATTTGTTTGTTAACGAGGCTATTATCATTTTTAAATTACAAATTTTTGACCCATCCTTTTATAGATTTCACAACACAGGAACACCATCTGGTTTAAATTTGAACGCTCCTCGTAAAATTCTATATAATCTGTAGACGCCAAAAATAATTTATTTTGATTATTTTTCTATGAACATTGTGTTGACACTAACCTATATTTTATTAAATTACTTAATTATATGAAATTCCAATTCTTTGATAGAATTGTTTACCTGATATCTTTTATTATTGTTATTAAACAACTATGCAAATTGTTCTGAGAAGTTAGTGAAAATAAATAATTATATTTTATTTTTATGGAAATGGTATGTAGGTAAGTATAATATAATAATAATATTTAGTTATGGTTGGAAGATGTTTGACGTATGAACAAAGTTTGTAAAGCAAAACAATTTAAAATTGTAATAAGATATTACTAGCCACTAAGATAAACTTCATGGAAAACAATTTGGTATTTTCAGTTCTATTTCGGACAGTATTAATTCTAGAAATTTCGATTAAACATTTTTCATCAGAAATATTGCAAAATTTAAAAAAATAGGATTTTCCTGGTAAAGAAAAATAAATTCAGTTACCGGAATTTCAAATTTACAAAAGGGTTTTTTTCGTTTATAAAATATTTCTGATTAATACTAGTACTTAATTAGTGAAATATAATAGGTATTGTACAAAGAATAGCTATTTGTATTACTAGGGAGGAAAGTGCCACTTTTCCTCCCGCAGGATGAAGTTTCTTCGGCGCATTGCTTGAAATGTAAATATTGTTTTTCGTATTTTTCTTTAGATTTTTGGGGTAATAGAGATTGTACTGTTGCATTAACCTGTTCCAAAATATCCGGTGGTGTATTAATTATTATATCTTCAAATTCGCTTAAAGCACTCATTTTTTAAATATTATTTTATATTTTGTAGATATATTATAGCGTAACACACTTTGAAACTGATCTGTCAATCGACCATAGCATGCTATAATATTTCTGTCCTAAATTCGAAAATCGGATGAATCTATGAATTGAAGTCAAATTATTAATGTAAAAATCGTTAAATTAAAATAACAATTTACTGGTTTTTACTATTTTGCAAAATACAGGGTGTTCTATAAATAAACGGTAAAATTTATACTTATATAATAGAATATAGTTTAGGTCGTCAATGCCGTATAAGCTATTTCATTTATGACATACCATGACGTCACTTTTACTTTTTCTCCCTAGGGAGTAAAAGTACTTTTCCTCCCTAGGGAGGAAAAATACGACTTTGCTCCCTGCTATGAGGCCAGAAAATGTATACTTTGGATAGAGGTAGGCGGAAAAATATATTTTGTTACAAAGCTTTCTATTTTGTTAATTAATTTATAATAAACGCAAAAAATATAACTGGGAAACGGCAATAATAAAATGGAAACCCAATTAAAATGTTAAATCGGAAAAAGAGAGTTTAGTAAGGGTAGCGATACATGGGATCAGATTACATGGCACTCCGCCTAACCTTCAACAGACTCTTCCAGGTCAACTGCAACTGGAACGAGGTAAATAAGGAGGTAGAGAAATACTTGCTTTGCCGTCTCGTACGGATGGATCTAAAACTAACAAGGGAACAGGATCTGGCGTACATGGAGTTAAACCCAAATGCGACATCATCGTCTCACTGGCTGAAATACATGCAATCGAATTGTGCGTACGAGAGAATTTAAGAAGGAAGTACAAAAAACAAACCATCCTAATTCTGTCAAATAGTTAAGCAGCCTTAAAGGTTTCTGATTCACATAGAATCAAGTCAAAGCTTGTCTGGAACTGCCTTGGAGTACTAAAGTGATCTGGCAACCCACAATAAGGTAAGGAAATGAAAAGGCTGATGAACTCGCCAAAAAGGGATCAGAAGTGTTGTTGTAACGCTAAAAAACCCCTTAAATAATGACGGTTGTTGACTGTCTTGTCGATTGTCATATGTCTTTTGTTTTTTTGGTAGAAGGTCGTAGATAAGATAATGGTGATGTTAATATGTTAAAAGTTAATCTAGTTCAATAAATAATAATCACAGGAATATGTGTGTTTTAATTAATATAAGAAAAATAGCAGACAAAAGAAATATCCAATAGCCAAAAGTTAAAAGGTTATGTGGCCAGAGCTTCCAGAAGACAAATAAAATACAAGAAATAAAAAAGTGAGGTTAAAAAGACGAAATGGCACATGTTGGAGTTGGTGGAAAAACCTTTTTCAATGAACCTTTGAATACTGAGAACTATTATAATTGGAAATTCAGAATACAATTAATTCTAGCTGAAAACGGAGTGGCTGAATGTATAGAAAGGGAAGTAAATATAGCACAATTGACAGGGGAAGAGAAAGCAAAAGAAATAAAGAATGAAAATAAAGCGAAATCACTTATAGTGCAGTGCGTAAAAGACAACCAGTTGGAGAGCCTAAGAGAAAAGAAAACGATTTCTAGTATGTGGAAGTTATTGGAACAGAAGTACGAAAAGAATGACCTACCAGGACAGTTATATTTAAAAAAGAAAATGTTATCGATGAAATTGAATGAAGGCGAAGATTTAAATAAATTTTTAGATAGGGTTGATGAGGTAGTTCGGCAGTTAAAATCCACTGGTGTAGAAATTCAAGAAAGTGATGTCATTTGTAATATGTTACTAACATTGCCAAAATCATATGAAACGGTAGCCACAATAATCGAAAACAAGCCAGCAGATACATTGAACAATGAAGAAGTCAAAAACAAATTACTCGCTGAAGAAGAAAAGAGAAAACATAATTCACGACAGGGTATAGTAACTGATCAAACAGCTTTTGGTGTAGAAGTTATATGTTACGGTTGTGGTAAAAAGAGTCACATCAAGAGAAACTTCAGAGTAACTAGCCACAGAAGTTTTGAAAGAAATTTAGGTTATTCAAATATACAGAGAGGAGGTTGCCAGCAATTTCGAAGCAAAGGTTTTAACCGAGGTTTTAATAGAGGAAGTAGAGGTGAAGGTAGATATCAACGATATGAAGTAATCAAGGAGAAGTAGAAGAAAAAGAGGTTAGTGAGAGTGATAATTATCAGTTTGTTTTATAAATGACATGAATATGGAATCTAATATGTTAAATAAAAATAATGAAAATGAAATAACCTTTTGCATAGATAGTGGATGTACTGACCATTTAGTTAATAATAAAAAATATTAATAATTATTATTGGATAAATTGCTCGAGCAAGTTTGTAAACCCTAATCAAAAGGCGATATAGAATGGTTTTAAAAATCAAGGCTTGTGAAAATCATCACATGGTTTAACCTAAATAATAGCAATGCTTCACCAACAAATTCAACGTCCTAATACTACTATCGGCTTTCGGTCTTTCGTTCCAAGTTAAATCATTTCTCGTTTTTTTACGCTACGAGTTTACCCTTGTGGGCTTCAGTCTCGATGAGGTGGGAACCACCATTTTAGCGTCTCTCGAATTTACATTAATACATATGTAGTAGAATTTAGATATTGAAATATTTAAGTTTAACTCTTATTCCCTCTGTATTTCTTGTGCTATTAAATATGGAAAATCACAATTTCCTGTTCGTATTGAAATAACATTGAATTTATAAAAAAAAAAATGATATAAACGTGAAAGGAAAAAACGTATCTAATGGTACTTCCCGAACTATTATAATCCAATCAGTTCTGGTATAGTGTACTTAAAACAAGCGACGACGAAACGTATTACGTCTGATGATGAATTCCCAGAAATTTTGATTAGATTAGTTTCTGGAATCGAGTCCGTGTAATCGCTTGTGATGGTTAAGTTTCATTAGGCAACGCAATCATTTTGAGAAAAATTGATGTAATATTATCTTTCGGGAAAAAACTCATTGTATTGTTTGTTGATGATTTCACCTCACTGAGGCCTCATTTTTTAGGAAGCGTGTTTGTAAGAGGAGAAGGTACAAAATAATAATTGAGAAATATTATCCATTTACTTTTAATTTAACGAGGCGGCTGTTTTCTCCACTGAAATAGATATATAATTAAAGTTCAAGTTACACTAAATGGTTTGTAAATAACTCCTCTCAAACAATAAAAATTTAACTTCAGCTGATAAAACAAAAATAGGTTAGGTTGAACATGAAACATGATGGGGATGATACACATCGGATTCCACTACGACCGATGGATCTATTTTGGCTCATGCCCAAGTTGGAATTCACACACCTTCTGATGATTATGTTTGAAATAAGTGAGACTTGTTTAAAGTCGATGGGCTCCAGTCGGGTAAAGTTAAAGATCTGAAACCTAGTTCTTTCCAAGGCAAGCATGATGGAATTTACCAGAATCGACAATCCGAAGCTTGTGGCAGAACTATCTTTCTCATGTAGTTACCCATACGAAATTATCCTGTCATCAGTCCCTTAAGGAAGCGTAGATTGAGCCTAATCCATTCCCTGATCTGAGCAGAGGCGTTTATAGAAGGGTTGGGTATAAACATTTTCCAATGAGTCACCACTAAAGTATCTCTTCAATACAGTGTTTCACCCTATTTCCAGTTTGTGATAATTGTTTTGGCTGTGTCGGCTTTTTCATTGCCTTTGTAACATTCGGTGACACTATTTGTAATCAGTGATGTTGGTTTTACAAATTAAGTGATTTACGTTCATTAATAAGGCTCTTGGATGATGCCCCACGTTGGGCGCCAATATTTTTTGTAACTACAGAAGTTGGTTTTACAATTTAAGTGATTGATCAATTACCCTAACATTAAAAATGAGCACCATCGTATTTAAATTCGCATATCTCTAAATATAAAAGTAATTTAAGAAAAAGGGGGTGGGTGGCTCAGTGGTAGAGTCTCTGCCTGTGGATCCAAGGGTCCCAGGTTCGAATCCCACCGTTGGCCGAAAATGTTTTCATTTAATTTATTTATTTAAAATTAATTCTGATGCCTTGGTAGGATTCCCCACTCGAACATTCAGTGTTGGGTTCTAATTAACAGTAATGTTCCTAAAGTGGCGTTTGGACAACTACCACAATTTAATTTATATACCCCCGCTTTATTATTAGGATTAATTTTACCCTTATTGTTAATCCTAATAATAAATCGGAGGTATATAAATTAAATTGTAGTAGTTGTCCAAAATTGTATATTGGTCAAACAGGCCGTACTTTCAAAAAGCGCTATTCCGAACATTATAATAGCTATACAAAAAACATATCATATTTTAGCTGAAAATCATTCTTTTACAGACAACTTTGAAATTTTGCATATAGAAAATAAGAGCATTAAACTAAACCATTTAGAAACACTTGAAATAAATAGATTTAAAAATTCATATAACCTACTAAATGATCAATTAGATATTAATTACTCACCTTTATTAAATCTCTTTCCTAGTTTTCTGTGAGATAATCCCGGTAATGTTACTATCTTATTGTTATCTGATTGATATCATAATTACTTATGTACCCTTATTTACTTTAAATAGTTTATTTTGTTATGTTATTGATGTATTTTCTTAATTACTTTGTTTTGGTAATTGTAAATTAGTCACATTTGAAAAAGAAGTTGTACTTCGAAACATGTCATGTGTAGTGTTTTTAATTTTAATTTTTTAAAATAAAAGTTTTGTGAAAATCTGCTAAATTTGGTTTTACTCATTTAAGATTTTTATAGTGTCCATCATGGACATTTTTTGGACATCCATTGGACTTCTGAATGGGTATATTCATTGGAATAATGGAAAATGGATGCCCAATGCACATCCATATAAAGTTCATGGACATCCAGGACAAAATATGGACGTCCAATGGACGTCGTGTGCTGGCTGGGTTAGGCATGAATCTAGATAATAAATTAAATATGTTTCCAGAACACAGAGAATTGAGAATGTCTACAGTCGAAAAGGAGAGGAAAACCATTGCAAAAAAAAATAAAAAAGGCTGCGTCACGTCAATATTGAAGTTCTACTGTTCCTCGACAACCGATACCTAATGAGAAGGCTCAGAAGGACTAAACCATTTGAATTTGTGAAATGAAAGTGTATTAAAGCAGAGTACAGTACTCGTGTGCAGTACATAGTTATTAGAACAGAAAGTTTATTATAGAGACAAATTGCTTGTTGGCTGAAATATAGGTAGGTGCAATGCAAACTAACAAAAAAATCTTTTTAATTTGATCTACCAAATACACGGACTATTAAAAATTTGACACGTGCTTACTATTTTAGAATATAGAAATATTGAATCGTTTCAAATTACCTAAGTAGACTTCTGTTTAGAAGCAAATTTCTGCAACACCGTTCATTTTATCTTCATAAAAGGTTCTTAATTGTTTAACTAAAAATAAAAAATATTTAAAGGCGTTTTTGATTTATAGCAAATTTTGAATTTTGACACCCTGGGTGGTATTATACAATTTATTAAAAAACTATCCTTGTAATAAGGCCAGTGGACCTTGTTGGGTAGAATTAATAAATAAGTTATATTTTGAAATTATATTATAAAAGTTTTTTACTTAAATATAGACTATACAAAACTATTATTTCGATAATAAATTCTACGTTACATTTTACATTAATAGCGCAGTGTAGAATAAATATGCGTAATAATTAGATTCTTATAAGCTATAAGTATCGATGTTTATTGCTGATAAAAAAATTTGAATCAATAAGAACAGCTTTAAAAATTCTAATCGCTTATTAATTATACCCACTAGCATAAATTTCCATTGCGAAAAATTTCTAGTAGTTTATTGATAACATTTTTTTATCTACACTTACCGATTCCTAGAAAACACGTTTAGCGTTGATTAGAGTATTTTTTCAATTAAATCGCAATTATAATCCGTTAAACGTTCTAAGAATTTCAATATAGAATAATAATTGCAAATTGTCCTTGTTGATTTTCATTGAGAAATTGTAAAACAGTAGCGGATTTTATTGTATCGAAATAATTAGGTATGATTATAGATAAGTACCTATTTGTTAATTATCGGGGCTGTTTTATGTTTAACGAGCGTTATAAAATCTACTTGAGCCAGTAAACATCTATCTTTTGTTAATAGAGTATAAAACTATTAGATTTTTTAAGTAACTTTTTATTCATAAACTTAAAGAATAGAGATATAATAATAGATCGTATTGCCCTAACAGAATAAATAACAAGGACAAATAAACGTAAGAAAATAGAATTTTATATAAAAATCTGTGTTCAACACATGACTTTCCTGTCTTATCTAAAGTTATTATTTTCGGTTATTTTCTATACAACTAATTGTATGCCTGTAAATGTTTAGAGGATGAACTAAAACATACATTTTCCACACACATTTTTTTATAAAATATATTTATTGCCAACGAAAACACTAAAAAATTAAAATTTTACATTTTCCCTCAATTTTTTCCATTTCGGCCCATTTTAGAGAAGTCATGTATAAACGCTTTTCCTACTGTCAGAAATGAAATAACATATTCTCAGGTAACAAACTCACAGAAGCAACCAATTTAAAGGTTACAACCAGCCATGAATCCCACGACACAAATTGCGCAGCATACTTCACAGTCAACCAGCTTAGCAGAAAGTACTACTCATGAATGATTATTATCCTTAATAACTAGAATAGATTCACTCTCTGACAGGATCCAGAAGCTAGAAGAATTAAATAAACCGCAAACATATAACAAAACCACCAATGGACAAAAGAGATATTAGAATAGCCACTTGGAATGCCAATGGTAGTCTCCAAAAACATACTGATATCCAAGTTTTCTTGGACGTACAAAAAATAGATATATGTCTGATTTCTGAGACCCACCTTACAACAGAGTCATACATTTAATTCAGAGGATATATTCTATCATACTATCCATCCATCAAATGCAGTAAGAGGAGGAAGTGCGTTAATTATTCAAAAAAACATTTCCCACTATGAGGAACCAGGCATCCAAGAACCAGAAAATCAGGTAACCATTAGCACCATTAACATTAAGGGGGCAAAATTACAATAGCTGCAATCTATTGCCCACCAAGCTACAACCAGAAAAAAGAAAATTATCTCAAAAAACTAGGTAACAAATTTGTAATCGGTGGAGATTACAACTCCAAACACACAAACTGGGGTTCAAGATTAACCACAGTCAAAGGAAAAGAATTGCACCGAGCTGCATCAGAACTTGGTTGTACATACCAATCTTCTGAAAAACCCACCTATTGGCCCACCGACCCAAATAAGATTCCAGACCTTTTGGATTTCTTTATTCTGAGGAAAATTTCACCAAACTATACACAAGTAGAAGAAAACTTTGATATGGATTCAGACCATTAACTGCAGTAATCCTTACTCTAAGTGATAATGTTATTCAAAGAGAAGCCAAACCGACCCTAGCAAATCGGAAAACTAATTGGACAGGTTTTCAAGAGGACGCCAACATTATCAATTTTAATTCTCTTT